CTTCAGTTACGTTGTCTGTGTTCTAAATGCCAAGTTCATGTCATAAACTATATTATGGATCTATAGTTTTAGAAGTCTTCATCTTTGCTTGCTTCAAATTCTCCACTTCTATGGCCTAATTCTCCACTTTCATGGCTTAAATACAAAAGGAGGAGGAAGGGGGAGAAAGGGGTAGGGGAAGAGGAAAGTGAGTGGGTAGGAGGTTTTTCTCCATAGTCTGCCTCTCTGGATTAGATTCCACCACATCCCCCATTTAATGACTCCTCTTTTTAGTATCCCAGTGGCTCTACGTATTTAGATAATTATTCATTAGCTGGTCTCACCTACCTTTCAAACTTTATCTCTTGCTCAAGCCATACTCTTCCTTCCCAGCCATACTGAGGGACTTTGCCACTCAAAGTTCCAGACCGAGTCCTTGAACCAACAGCACTGGCATGCCATGGGACCTTGGTAGGAATACTGAATCACTGTAGACCTGCAAAGCCAAAATCTGCATTTAAACAAGATTTCTTAAGATTCATGTGGACATCAAGTTTGAGATCTGCTTTAGATGACCCTTCTTCACTGGCCATCCACCCAGCCACTTGTAAAATTAGCTCCAAGCAGCAATCAAGTAATCTGCAACTCATCTTGGAAGCATTGCCTTACAAACACCTTCCTCCCTTCTTAGCTTTTCCTTTGTGGGCATAATAAAAATTATGTGGGAAAATTTGCATAGGCAAATGGCCAGCACAAGGTATTGTTTTCTGGTTTTCAGTTTCCCTCAGCTTCCCCAACTAAATTGTAAACTCCTTGAAGTCATGAATCTTATTTCTGTTTTGAAGTACCAGTATCTAGTACAATGCCTGTAAAATGGACTTGATAAATTCTGTTGCCTAAAAAGTAAAGGATTGACTTCTAAAACCCATCCTCTCTTGTAATTCAATTCAGCCTCCTGAAAGATCATCATCTCATCTTTAGTAGAGTTTGAAGAGACTTCAGAATCACTAATCCTTTTATCTCTCATGATAGTTTAAATATGGCATAGGGCTGAGCACTAAACTCCTTACACTGAACTACCCCTCACTATGCTGGTGCCAGTACAAAGGATGCTGTCCTGAGCCAAAAAGAAGTGGCCTGCAATCTTACTATACTACCCTACTGCCACTGCAGGCGTATGATTTTGTCCTTCATGTCTGAGAGGAAACATGGGTCTTTTCCTGCCTTGATCCCAGGATGGTTCCCTTTGACTCCAGCTCCAAAGATGTCTCCTCGCAGTCACCAGAGCAATCAGCTCCACCATCTCTCCAGTTCTGTGACCTTTAACCTCCATGGTTTCCCAGGATTCTTAGCAAGAAGGAAACCATAGATACTTCCCAATGATAAAAGCAAGGATTTGTAGCTCCCGGGATTGAAAGGATGTGAGGAAATGAATTATCTGGCACATTAATCTTAAGGATGTTCATTAATAACACTCTTGGAGAATATTTCCATCATAGTGAAAAATTTAAGTGTGCATAGCTTTCAACCCTTCAACAGAAATTGTACTTCTAGAAATGTATATTTCAGAAATACTAATACAGGTGCATAAAGATATACCAAGAATACTCATGTAGCATAGCTTGAAATTGGCAAGAAAACAAAAACAAAATTAAAAAGTAGAGACAAAATAAGCACTCCTCAATGGGAAGTTTGACAATGGTTACATAAATGATGCTCATTTACTTACAAGCAAAATACACAGCCACTAAGACTGATTACACTTTATATACCTATTGGTGAGGAAAAATACAAATGATAAGAGTGTATAATATGATCCCACTTTTTAAAAAGTATATGTTGGTATATGTATATATTTATAACAATACATGTTGGTATGGCATTTTTTTAAAAGGATGAAGGAATTCACAAAAACATGGGAGGGGTATGCAAAGATGTGGCTTTTTTGTGTTTTTATCAGTTTTTCAAATATTCCATGTGAATATTATTTTTTAACTGGGCCTGAGAACAATAGGAAAGATTTTTCCTATTTAAGTAAACTAAACTGCAAGCCCATCTAATGAATACCGAATTATGGTAACAAAGGAAACAAAAATAAAAGTACGGGAAATTTTTGGATCAAAAGCATTGCTTATTTCCACTAAAAATCCTCAGTCAAATCAGGTAGAGAACTGCCATCTACTGAAAATAGCATGTACTTGGCATGCAAACCAGCACTCCTCTTCTTTGCCCATGGTGGACCTGATGTACACTCAGCCCCACTGCACCCCCAGAGAAGAGGCCCCACTGTCCTTTGAAACACAGTGGTCCAGGGGGTACTCCCCAATAACTGGGAATGGAAGAAAAATGTGAGCTCTCCCTATTTGTGAACCTGTCAAATTCAGTTCTCTCCCCATATCTCTTGAAGCATACATGAGGAATAAAATTTACAGATACCACATGTCCCCAGGGGTATCCCATTCATGGTTATTAAAGGCCCTGAGCCTTACCTGCATCTCCTTCTTAGGACTCCCACTCCAGAGAGAACATCATAGCATACTCAGAGTGACAATGACATTATTATTCCTGCTCTAATTTATTTTTAAAAGTAATTTGCATATATCACTATGCAACCTAAGCTTTCATCATGATCCAAATAGAACTGCACTCGAGAATTGCTCAAATGCTTCATCACTGAAAAAATATTTCATATGCTTGGACTATCCTTCGTAAGTCATATTTAGCCAGAACCAGAATTTTGCACTAAGATTGTTTGCAGTTAGTATTTTAAATTTTCTTCTTCTTTTGCATACTGGTAGTTTCTGTTCTACAATGAATATTTGCATTTGAAATAGAAAATAACTGCATACCAAGTAAGGTGATAAGAATTTTACATACATTATCTTATTAAATCCTCCCAACCATCTTTGGACCATTATTTACCCACTTTGCCAAAAAGGAAACAGGGGCTGCTGAGGTTAACTGGCCTAGTTCAGTTCCACTACCTGATGTAGGCAAGCTACTCATCCCTGAGGCTCTCAATTTTATGGCCTATAAAACTAAGATAGTATCAACCTTGTCAAGGGTAAGGATTAAAAAAGAATGTCAGCTGTGAAAGAGGTCTTATGTGAAACATCTGGTATAAAGAAAACTCTTTTTTTTCCTAAGTTCTCTGCAGATGTCAAGTACAAATATAAAAGTCCTAAACAACAGCATACTGGAACTAGCTCGCATTTGGCTTGGGTACGTCTCCTCCCAACTTCATCATCCTCTGCTTGGTGATTTGCAGTCAGCCGCAGTAGGAGTCAGAATCCAGCTGATGATGCAGATCAGGGCCATTCCCTCTGGAGAGCTGGTTGTTAGCAGTTCACCAGCACACCACAGCCCCTAGCTGGAGAGAGAATGGATTTACTGGTTTGGCTCAAATCCAGGTTTTATTTATTTATTTAGGGAGAATGATTCATAGCTTGGCTGTGTATGTCATGAAGCTTATTTTCCCAGCTGCAATGTGAAGGAATTTTAAGAATGGCAAAAAAAAAAAGCCCCAATACAGCATTTTCCCTCTTCAGCTATTTCAATCTGATTAGGGCAACACAACATACTACATATAACATCTCTGGGTATTGATGTGGGCTTTTTTTTTTTTTCCTAATTTCTATTCTGCCTGTTGCTGTCATTAAGGGCCCAGATGAATGATTTTATGAGTAGCCCTTTTTGTATGGCATACTTGTGCCTCAGAGTAACTAGTTCATTAACCAGCCAGTGTTGCTTCTCCTGAGGAACCATATCTTGCCAGAATGGCTGGCATGGAGACATTAAGAAATAAGGCAGGCAGTGTTGGCCAACATTAGTTCAGTGGTTAGTGTTTGACCCTGGAAATCTTCTCTTTCCTCTGTGATAAACTATCAAGGTCCCCTCATTAGGGTTGAAGAAATGGAAAACTTTTTGCTGAGGTTTGTTGTGCCCTCCTGAAAGTCAAGCTTCGACCCAACGTGGGGTTGAAGGTTAGAGTCCTGCTTCCCCGTCTGTGTGTTCAAGCCAGTGGGCACGCTCACTGGCCTTTGTCTAGTGGGTCCGAGCCTAATCAGCTTCTTTCAGCAACTTCAACTAGGATCCTGTGTTAGGTTCCTAGGAGTCCTATAAGAAAATACCACAAACTTAGTGGCTTAAAACAACAGAAATTTATACAGTTACAGTTCTGAAGGCCGGCAGTACAAAATCAAGGTGCCAGGAGAGCCATGCTCTCTCTGAAGGCACCGGGAGAGGATCTGCAGCTGCCTTTCTCTTAGCTTCTGTTATTGCCAGCAATCCTTGGCCGTCCTTGACTTGCAGGTGTATCACTCACATCTCTGCCTCTATCCTCACATAGTATTCTCTCTGTGTGTCTGTCTTCATGTTGTCGTGTGTGTGTGTGTGTGTCCCTCTGTTTCTTCTCTTCCTCTAAGGACCCAATTATGTTGCATCAGTTAGTGTCCACCCTAATGACCTCATCTTAACTTCATCATATCTGCAAAGACCTTGTTTGCAAATAAGGTCATGTTCACAGTTATGCAGGTTGGACTTGAACATGTCTTTTTGCAGGACACAGTTCACGCCATAGCAGATACTGAGAAAGATGTCTTCAGTAACTGCTACGTATTCAGCCCAGGGTGTTGTAAAATAATCAAGCCGAGTCCAAGATGAGGAGAGGCAATAGGAACAGGAGGAGACAGGCAGAACAGATGTACAGAGGGAAGCAGAGAGAACAATCTGAAAGATGGAGAATGTGGTCTCCACTGTATCTCTTCCATCAAACTATTCTTTCCCTTCTTTTTTTTCAAGTGGGAGGCTTTCTCTTTATATACTGTGAAACCATTAGAACCCCAGCCAAGAAGAGTGAGATCCCCAAAGTCAGTGTGGAGGGTGGTGGTTCCTGAAGAACACATTGGCCAGCCAGAAGAAAAATAAGAAGTACCAAGGAAATGTCATAAATCTCCATGAAGCCAAAAGTATCCCATAAAAAGATGCCGTATGATTCTGAATCCCATTTATTTCTACTTTTTAAAGGTTAAAATAGCCATTAAATTTGAAACAATGGGAGTTTGCTTTGTTTTATAATACATTTTTTTTCTTGTACCAATGGTAAATTGTTACTACCAGTTTATGGCGATGGAAACAGAGGCACAGAGAGGTTAAGATCACACAGCTAGTAAATGGAAGATGTTTTATAAAATTCTGTTTGGCAAAATTGAAAGCTGGCAATTCTATGTCTAGACCCAGAATTTAAAAAATTCACTTTGTCAGGTCGAAGTTTCTTAAAGTCTTATAACCACTGACCTAAAACGTGCCAAAGCCATGAGTTTCACACATATATTCAGCTACAATGAACAGGAGGTTCAGTTCCTTTCCCTAATGAATTCTGTATCTATGGCTTCTTCTCCCCCAAATGTCTCCTTGCATATAAATTTTCAGCAGGCTGAGAGTTCCTTCACGCTTCCCTTGCAGTGACTATGGATTTGCAGTGACAGTTCCTCGTTGCTTAGAAGCTGCACTTGTCTGTAAGCGTGGTTACTCGGTGGCCAGCTGTGTGCTGAGAAGCCCAGCTTCCCTGGCTGCAGCTAATTGAGCAGTAGCGCCCACTTGGAACAATCAGATTTTTCTTTCCTATTATTTTAGTTTGCCTTTCTCCAAAAACAGACTCTGAGACAAAGATTTGTGTACACATAGTTTATTTGCATGATGATCTCATAGAGCACGGTGAGAGAGTGGGAAAGGGGACAGGGAAGGGAGAAAGCCAATTAAAAAATGTGTAAGTTCATGGCATGATGGTAAACATTTAACAATTGGTTCTCCAGGGAAAAAAAATGTGATTTGTAGCATTTGCCCATTTCCATGGTATAAATACTCCCCCTGCGGCCCTTTTTCAGTTAGGGAAGTGACATCACTGAATGCTGAGCTGGGATGAGATGCACAACTGCACCATTGCACACTGTTTCCACCATACAAATTTATGAACATATTTTAACCTACAAGAGAAAGAGTATTGGGATGGAGAATCTGAAATTTTTATACTGAGCCTTTAGTCTCAATCTTGGCAAAACATTTCTTGCATGAGCTTTCTAAAACTCACCAATGGTAGTGTAGAAAACAAAGGCAGAAGGGCACAACAGTATATGGAGTATTCAAGCCAAAAATAGATAACCTAATCTAATAATCAAAACAATAATGATTGGCCTATACTGTTCCAAAATGTCACTCCACCTTTCTTTGTCTTTGGAAGACAAAGGAAAGCTGAGAAACTGTTTCAAATTAAAGGAGACTAACAAGGCATGACAATTAAATAGAGCATGTGTCCTGGGATTGGCTCTTGTACCAGAAAAAAATTCCTGTAAAAGACATTTGGAGGCAATTGATGAAACTATAATATGGACTGTAGATTAGATATGGTAGTATATCAATGTTATGTTTCTGAATTTGACAACTACACTGTGATTTCATAAGAGAATATCCTTGGTCTTAGGACACATACATTGAAGTATTATGGGTAAGGGTTATTATTCAGCTCAGAGAAACAAAAAGTTGTTGGGAGCCGGGGCTATGTCCCTTCCCCCACGTCTGAACGCAGCATGGGAAAGCACAAGCTTGAGAGCAACCGGTGCAGTCCTTGGAAGTTATCTGCTCACAAAAACATATCTGGTCCTTGAAGATGAGCCAAGACTCCTCACTCTGAAAATAGGGAGACCTTGAGGATGTGTGAAAACACCTCCCCGCCAGCGCCACCTAAGGTCCAATTATCTCCTGACCCACCCCTTACTTGCTACTTGTATAAATTGAGCCTGTAAACAATAAACTTCGCCAGCTTGATCAGACATCCTGTCTTGCTGGTCATTCTTTGTGTCTCTTGCTTGTCTCATTTCTGCAGGCGTCTCCGGCACACTCCACGTTCGTCCCGCGGGCCGGGACAAAAAGTAGAGTGGTAGTTACCAGGGGCTAGGGAGTGGGGGAAATGGGAAGATACGTGTCGAAGCATACAAACTTGCAGTTATAAGATCTGATGTACATGGGGATCTAGTATGTAGCATGATAATTATAGCTAATAATACTGTATTGTACACTTAGAATTTGCTAAGAGAGTAGATCTTTAATGTGCTCATCACAAAAAAATAGCATAGTGACAGGAGGGAGGTGATAACTAATGCTGTGGAGGTAATCATTTCGCAATATATAAATGTGTCAAATCAATGCATTGGACACCTTAAATTTACACAATGCTGTATGTCAATTGTATCTCAGTAAGGCTTGGCAAAAAAACCTGTTCTTAAACTCAAAATGTGGTTAGCCCATGTCAGTTATTTCTACAGACATATAAAAAATAGTCATACATAAAAAATAACTAGAAGATATTGAAATATGGCCATTCATTCCCAAGGATGACAGTATTTAAGCAGGCACAGAAAAAAAAGCAAAACAAAACCCTAATTAAATCTAAGGGTGGAATTCACAGACAAGGCAAGATCTTTAATATTGAAAATTTTGAATTTCTTTTTTCTTATTAAGCAATCAATATAATCTCCAGAATCATAAGACTCAAAGCATAAGTTTGAGAAAATATTGTATCATCCTCCCCCGCACACACACATTTAAAAGGGGAAGAGAGTAAGCTGACCGATGGATATAGCCTTCTCATAAATGGTTCAGGTAATTAGTAATTTGCCTGTATATGTGTACAGAGAGAAAAAGAGAGTGAGCAAATATAGCAAAATGTTAAAAATGGTCAATCTGGATAAAGGCTGGATACAGGAGTTCTTTGCATTATTTTTGCAATTTTCTTTAAGTTTGAAATTATTTCAAAATAAAATGGTAACAAAAGAAAGCAAGGGGCAGAGTAAAAATGCCTTGCTTCCTCTTCAATAGCTTCAGTAAGTGATGAGAACTCAGTGACCAACCTCAGACTAGGAGACGGGGAAGCAAAACACGCACCTTCCGGTTTTACCTGCCATCTCTCCTTCTTGCTTTGTTGCATTGAAGAGAGAGCAGCTCAAATTCAGTGGAAAGAACTATACATTATCCACAACCATTCCATAACCAGTCTCAGCTCCTTTACAGCTTTATGCTCCATGTAGGCAGACTCACTTGGTTTTGACAGTATGGTTTTGACATGTATGACTTGAAGGTCTCTATTTGCCTTGCATATATTCTAAAGGTGAGAGGAGAAAGGGGATGGAGGGAAGGAGAAAGGAAAGGAAAGAGGAGGAGAGATGTGGGTAGAAGGGAGAGGGAGAGAGGTGTCATGGGTCATGTGTATTATGTGCAGAAATCAAATACAATTATGGAATGCCCTGGAATCAAGGCTTAGATCAGTGCCTCGCAAACTTTAACTTACCCTCAAATCA